AAATGTTGAAGTTTGGAGGAGGCTGGAGGCAGTGGAGATGTTGTGTCTGAGGGCAGTGTGTGGTGTGAATATTTTGCAGAGAATTTGTAGTTTGGAGATTAGAAGGAGGTGTGGGGTTACTAAAGGTATTATCTAGAGGGATTATTGAGGTGTTTTGATTATTTAAGAGAGGATGGAGCAAAATAGGATGACTTGGAGGATGTATAAATCTGTAATGGAGGGAGAGAGGGGTTAGGACTGCCCTAGGAAAGGTTGGAGGGAGGGAGTAAAGGAGGTTTTGTGTGTGAGAGGGGTTGGACATCCAACAGGCATGTGTGAGCATGTCAGATAGGAGTGAGTGGAGGCAAGTAGTTTTTATAACTTGACATGCTGTTGGAGTGTGAGCAAGGTAACATTTATGAAGGGATTCAGGGAAACCAGTTAGCTGGACTTGAGTCCAGTAGGTGGGAAATACAATGCCTGCTCTCTGAAGGAGGGGTGGGGATATTTCAGTTTGGAGGGGCATCTTAGCTGTAGTGTAGGTGCGCCTCTGGCAAGACAGAGGAGTAAAGACTACATAACCATTCAAGTTCATGAAAGGATGAGAGAAAACATATAGGGATGATGCTTCAGAGCCTAATAATTTCGAGAAGAGTTGCCAGAGTATCATTATTGAAAAAGCAATGCAGAAAGAATAATAGGAATTGTTTTTTACAAATAGAATGGTACATAAAACGGCTTCAAAGAGGCAGTGTCGCATAGTACACCTACCGGAAGCTATACAAAAATATATTTATGATAAATGTATTATAGAAGATAAGACATGATTAGCATTACTTCTGTAAGTATGAAGAGGTAATTATTCACACACACAGTTCTTAAATAAGGTAGATTTTCATACACTACCTCCTCTAGGAGTATATTCCAGCATTCGTGCCTAGTATGTTTCACAAGTAATTTGTATTTCCCCTGGCAAAAAAAAAAAATGTAATTGATTTATGATTTTACACTATGATTTGTATTTTATTTTGTTAATATGACTTCTTTCACCAATGCAGGAGAATTGCCCCAATCTCCAAACATTGGATTTGTCAAATGTGATGACAGTGGGGCGTGATTGTGTGTTAATCAACATCGAAAGGTTACAAAAAGGGTGCACGAAGATGAAGAATTTGAGACTTACCAACTCTCTTGTTAGACTTAGTGCGACATCCTTACAAGAACAGGTATGTATTTTGACTTCATTGATGTGACTATATATGACAAATTTTTCATATACTTTTATTTCTCTAGAAAGTGATGTAATTCTTTTATCTTATTTAAGTCAAATCCTAAGATATAAAATTCTTTATAGGGTCAAAGAAAAATGGCTGTAAATGTTCAATAAATGTTTTGGGTCATTCCAAGTCAAGTGGACCAATTTTAAAAATCGTCCCCACTTGACCATCTCCAATTTCGATAAAATTTTAAATGAAGGTTGGCGTGTACACCAGACTAACTTTGGGAAAATTTTAGTTCATGATGTGCAATAGTAGTAATGCTATGGCCCTCAGAGTGGAGGCAGATGAAAATTTCACCAACCCACAGCATACAATCAACAGTAGTCAGGTAATTGATGAGGCAGATCTTGAAGCATAAAAGTTGTGTAAGTAGACATACCTACTGGGAAGATTGTTCCACGCATCCACAACTCTGTTAGAAAACCAGTACTTACCTATGTCCTTTCTAAATCTAAATTTATCCAACTTAAATCCATTATTTCTGGTTCTTACCTGGATTGACACCCTCAGTACTTTATTAATATCTCCTTTGTTTATACCCATCATCCACTTATACACTTCAATGATATCTCCCCTCATTCTACGTCTCTCCAGAGAGTGGAGATTTAAGGCTTTAAGTCTATCTTTATACAGGAGATTCCTTACACAGTAAATCATTTTAGTCATTCTTCTCTGTATGTTCTCCAATGAGTCATATCCATCCTGTAGTAAGGAGACCAAAACTGAGCAGCATAATCTAAATGAGGTCTCACTAGTGATGTATAGAGCTGTAAAATAACTTTTGGACTTCTGTTACTTATACTTCTTGAGATAAATCTGTACTTAGCTCTGTGAAGATCTGTCCAGTGTATTCTCCATGAATCTGCACAAGATGTCCTCTCTTGAGCAACTCTACCAGCAGCTAAAAGAGGAGCTTAGGGTTGCTAAGCTTGAGATACGGCGAATGACGGAGGAAAACAAGAGGATTCAAAGTATTCCTCCTGTTGTGAGTCTTCAGGTCAAGAGAGGAACCTGGTCAGTGGCCGGCCAACATGGAACGAAGCTGAAAATCAAGAAGACTGTTGGAGTGGTGGAAACAACGACGATCCAGAAGACTGCTGTAGAGACTTCCAACCCATTTTCGGTGCTACCAGACAAATATGTGTTGTCTACTGGAAACGTCACAATGAGTACCAAGGAATCATTGGCAGAGGAGGGTGGGTTGACATCCCTTGAAACCCCAACGAAGACCATCGAAAACATCACTACGAACTCCATCAGTGAAGGTAAGAACATTGTTTTAGTTGGGGACAGTCAAGTGAAATTTATGGATAGGGCATTTTGTCTTAGGGACAGGAAGAGGAGGCAGAGGGTATGTTTTACTGAGACTGGGATGGGGGATATTGTTAGCCGTCTGGACAACATTATGAAAGGTAATGGGAGCAATCCTATTATCTGCCTCATTGCGGGAGGCAATGATGTTGGCAGACGTAGGAGTGAAGACCTGATTAGCAGGTATAGGACAGCAATAGGGATAATTAGGAAGAAGGGTGGGAACCCTGTGTTATGTGGCATTTTGCCCAGGAGAAGAGTTGGAAATGAATGGTTGTCCAGGGCAACTGGTGTCAACTGCTGGCTGGCCAAACACTGTAAGGAAATTGCAGTAACATTCATAGACAACTGGGACCTCTTCTATTTCAGAAATGAAATGTATGCCAGGGATGGGGTTCACTTATCTAGGTTTGGGGTGGGAGCACTGGCCAATGCAGTGGAGGGAACTGTTAGATCTTTAAACTAGAAATAGATAGTGGTATGGGTTTTCGTGGAAAATCAATGTATTCTGAGCGTAGCGATAGTGTGAGTTTTAAGGAAACCAGTTATAGGCAGAATTAGGAAGAGTTATTGGTGGACATAGGAAAGCCAGTGGCATTAGGTGATAAGGAGAGTAACAGGCATAGTGGAGGAACAGAAAGCAGCAGGAAGAAAAAAGAGAAGGGAGGGTTTCTGAAAATATATTATACTAATAGTCGTAGTACGAGAAATAAGATGGACGAATTGAGATTAGTTGCAAGTGCGGGTAACACTGATGTTTTTGCCATAACTGAGACGTGGTTTAATATGAAAAATAGGGACATGCCTGCTGAATGTCACATTCAGGGTTTTAAACTGTTCCAAGTAAACAGAAATATTGGGAAGGGGGGTGGGGTGGCACTCTATGTCCGTGATCGTTTAAACTGTTGCATAAAAACGGGTATAAAGGCTGAAACACATACTGAGTCTGTTTGGGTAGAATTTTCAGAGGGGCATGAAAAATTGATTTTAGGCGTGATATACCGTACCCCAAACATGGATAGAGACCGAGGAAGACTACTCTGGGAGGAAATTCTTAAGGCCACAAGGCACAATAACATTGTAATTCTAGGGGACTTTAACTTCAGTAATATTGATTGGAATTTTCTGACTGGGAATTTAGAATCTAATGACTTTTTAGAAGTAGTTCAGGATTGTTTTTTGAAGCAGTTTGTTACAGAACCTACAAGGGGAAATAACCTACTTGACTTAGTTTTGGCAAACAGGGAATCCCTTGTTAATAATTTAGAAATTTCAGAAGAACTTGGTGCTAGCGACCACAAATCAGTTACATTTAGCATTGAATGGAAGTATGATAGTAGGGATAACTCACTAACAGTCCCAGATTTTCGCTTAGCAGATTACGATGGGCTTAGAAAACACTTATCATCTGTTGACTGGGGTAACGAAGAGAGCTATCAATATGACAGTTTTCCGAACACTATACATGCTGCCCAAAGAACATTTATCCCTTATGAAGAAATTAGATCAAATAGAAATGATCCAAAATAGATGAGTAATAGGCTCAAATATATTTTAGGGCATAAGAAAGGAATTTATAGGCATATCAAAAGAGGTGAGGGTCATCTTATGAATCAGTACATTGACATTAAGAGAGACGTTAAAAAGGGGATAAGAAAAGCTAAACAGGACTATGAAATTAAAGTTACTAGGGATTCGAAAACTAACCCAAAAAGTTATTTCCAGGTGTATAGAACAAAAGTTAGAGATAAGATAGGTCCCCTTAAAAATAACTATGGGCATCTTACTGACAAAGAGAATGAAATGTGCTCAATTTTAAATAATTATTTTCTCTCGGTTTTTACACAGGAAGACACTAACAATATCCCAATAATTAATTTTTATAGTGGGCCTGAAGAAGATAAATTATGTAACATCACAGTCACTAGTGAAATGGTTATGAAACAGATAGACTGACTGAAGCAAAATAAGTCGCTGGGACCAGATGAGCTTTTTTCAAGGGTTCTTAAGGAATGCAAAATGAAACTCTGTGAACCATTAACTAATATTTTTAATTTATCTCTTCAAACAGGTGTAGTGTCTGATATGTGGAAGATGGCTAATGTAATTCATATCTTTAAAGCTTGCATTACCGTCAAATTACCACCCAGTAAGCCTGACCTCAATTGTAGGCAAATTACTAGAGTCAGTTATAGCTGAGATTATAAGAAGCCATCTGGATAAGCATAATCTGATTAATGATACTCAGCATGGATTCATGAGAGGCCATTCTTGTCTAACTAATTTATTAACTTTCTTCAGTAAAGCTTTTGAAGCTGCTGATCACAATAAAGAATTTGATATTATTTACTTACATGTTAGTAAGGCTTTTGATACAGTTCCACACCAAAGACTGTTAAAGAAAGTGGCAACTCATGCCATTGAGGGAAAAGTGCTCTCATGGATCGAGTCATGGCTCACAAACAGGAAGCAGAGAGTGTCCATAAATGGGGTTAAATCCGAGTAGGGATCTGTAACAAGTGGCGTTCCACAGGGATCAGTCTTGGGCCCATTGTTGTTTATAATATATATCAATGATCTTGATGAGGGAATTACTAGTGAAATGAGCAAATTCGCCAATGACACAAAGATAGGTAGGATAATTGATTCAAACGTAGATATCAGGGAACTTCAGGAGGATTTAGACAAACTCGGTAACTGGTCAGAAAAGTGGCAGATGCAGTTCATTGTAGATAAATGCAAGGTTCTGAAGCTCAGGAGTGTTCATAACCCTAGCACTTATAAGTTAAATATTGTAGAACTTAGCCATACAGAGGACTTGGGGGTTATGATAAGCAATAACCTTAAACCAAGACAGCAGTGCCTAAGCGTACGTAATAAGGCAAACAGATTACTAGGATTTATATCAAGAAGTGTAAGCAACAGAAGTTCAGCAGTTATATTACAGCTTTATACATCATTAGTAAGGCCTCACCTAGATTATGCAGTTTAGTTCTAGTCTCCATATTACAGAATGGACATAAATTCATTAGAAAACATTCAGCGTAGAATGACTAAATTAAAACATAGCATTAGAAATCTTCCTTATGAAGAAAGATTGAAGACCCTTAAGTTACATTCACTTGTTAGATGAAGAATGAGGAGAGACATGATCGAAATGTATAAGTGGAAGATGGGTATTAGTAAAGGGGATATAAATAAGGTCTTGAGGATATCTCTCCGAGAGAGAACCCATAGTAATGGATTCAAATTAGACAAGTTTAGATTTAGAAAGGGTACAGGAAAGTATTGGTTTGGAAATAGGGTAGTGATGAGTGGAACAGTCTACCTAGTTGGGTTATTGAGGCTAAAACCTTGGGTAGTTTCAAATTTTTTTTTTTTTTTTTTTTTTCTCAACAAGTCAGTCATCTCCCACCGAGGCAGGGTGACCCAAAAAAAAAAGAAAGAAAATCCCAAAAAAGAAAATACTTTCATCATCATTCAACACTTTCACCACACTCACACGTTATCACTGTTTTTGCAGAGGTGCTCAGAATACAACAGTTTAGAAGCATATATGTATAAAGATACACAACATATCCCTCCAAACTGCCAATATCCCTAACCCCTCCTTTAAAGTGCAGGCATTGTACTTC